CATGAGAGAAAAATTATAAATGAGTTGGAGTAAACAAGCGGGACGAAGCGAGAAAATGGCTTTTACTCGGGAGAAATGTATCTCTATTTTTTAGACCGAAACAGTGATCTCCTCTTTCTCTCTCTCTCTCTTTCATCACTTACAAATAATGTTTTTCGTTCTTTGAATTTTTATACGGTTTTGCAAACTATTTTATAGTTGGTGTTATTTAAAGTTTATTTCATTTGTTTATTCGACTATAATTTGTGAACGTTGAATTATTATAGATTCGATCCTGAAACTTTTAGGCTTGTAATAAATATCTAAATAAACAAGATAAACAAGATAGATAAACAAGATAGATAGATAAACAGATGCTCATTTATTATCTAAATATTTGAACGATGGATAAATAAACAAATAGAATTACTTGTTTATGATTTAAACGGTAATATAATAATGAAGAGAACAAAAAAGGATCAAAGTTATGATTTATAGTAAATAAATACAATGTTCTAATAAATATAGATTTAATAATTATAAATAAATAGTTATTTTGTTTTTATTTATTTTATTATTTGCACTTCTTTTTTTTTGTTCTCAAAGACTGTATTGCGTGACTGATCCAGACTCGTCGATTATTCGATCATCCTTCGTGCGGAAAATCGAGAAAACTGGATGGATTTATGACTCTTTCGGTCTTTCTTTCTCCCTCACCATCTCTCACTCTCTCTCTCTCTCTCTCTCTCAATCTTTCTTTCTCTTTCTTTATCTCGTTTTTTCACTCTTCTTTTATTGTCCGTTGAGAAAAGCTATTCGAAAGTTTTTCAAGCCCCTTCGAAAGTTCCTCGAAACCAAGCGACGAGTTATGAGAAAAAGCGTTCTGCTTTTGTCAACTTTAACACGATCGAATGGGATACAGTATACCGAGAATGTAAAAATATCGTCATTTTTTTCGAGTATCACACTTTCAGATGATATTACAAATATTTATTTTCTATATCATTATCATCTAACAATTTAATAATAATAATTGATTTTTCTTTTTTCTTTATTGTCTATACTTCCGATAGGCAGCGATAATCAATCGAAATGAAATTCAAATGAATATCATAGAATGAAATAATTGATTCGAAATATAAAGTCTTAGTTTCTGAAAATCATACATACGAAGGATAAACGTCCTTATATATATATATATATATATATATATATATATATATATATATATTATGTATAGATATATTATTGTAGATATTATATATTATACATATATATATATATATGTATATATATATATATATATTATGTATAGATCTATTATATATGTAATATAATACGCACAGTGTTGGTTAGTGTCACAATTAATTAGTATAACAATGTGAATGATATATATCGTTGAGGGATAAATATATATATATAATATATATGTGTGTGTGTAAGTATGTATATATATATATATATATATATATATATATATATATATATATATATATATATATATATATATATAGGTATTAAGTTAAAAATCGTTCAATAAGCGAATAAAAAAAGGAATAGGACTATCGTTTTGATTTGGGTTGTATTTTATTATCCAACCAACGAAAACCTGACTGAAACACTATCACCAGATCAATACGAATTACCAATGATATTTTTTCTTTAAAATATCCTTGATTTTTTTTACTTCAATCACTAATATTTTTGATGTTTTGGCTTTAATAAAATATAGACACAACTACGGATATGTTTATATATGAAACAACTTCAACTGTCATCTCTGCGTATATTTATGGAACAAAAAAAGAGAAAAAGAAGAGAAAGAAAATGAAAAAGAACAGGACTTATTTACGGAAATGATTAGGTCAATCCGAATAGTTTATTTCCCGAAAGTCGGATATAAAGCCATAACCGTTATTCATTGTCAAAAAGAAGAAAAAGTGAGATGTGAAAGTAAGCTAAAAGATTAAGGATAAAGTAAGGGCTAATAATTTCATCAATAATACAGAACTTAATACCTAATACCAATTAAGAAGATCTATCATATGTGAAGGGGAGGAGACTAGGTTCATGTATCCATTCGAACGAATGATTTTCAAAATCTAAGATTTTATATTTTAGATCTATAGTGTAATATCCCACAATACCTATAAAATCTGATATCGATAAACCATCACCAATACCATCACTATCGTTACTATTTGGAAGAATATTTTTCTTATTGATTTTTAAAGTTAAAAATATATATACTGAAATGTCAGCTTGATCCAAATAACACAGACAGCATATCATAACATTGTGCATACATAGCTCTATTTTCATCTCGCATCATCTAATCCACGAATAGGATACTCGATTATCGTTTCGTTCTCGTCGACACTGTCATAGGACATAAAGGAGTGATAAAGTTCACATTATCATACATTTTATACATACATACATACATACATACATACATATATATATATATGTACTTATTTACTTTCGATTATCTGACAATCTTGTTTATTTATATTTTATAAATTATTTCAAGAAGGGATACTTTTACTAGAAAATAAAAGGAATCCATACTGATTGTCTTTCTTTCTTTTTCATAGATTCTCAAGAGACATCATAGAGTAAAAAGCATCGTCTGGTTCGCACCGAAGTCTCTTAAGTCCTATTGCATCGTTTCCGCATGCCTATATGAACCCTTTTATGTTATTTTGAAAGGAAGGTAAACGAACCTTCACCGTCTTATGCCATTGTCGTTACTCGAATGTACAAGAAACAATGCATTATTCCCATCGGAATCGAGGTTACTTCGTGATATCACCGAACGCTCTTATTCGACCTATTCTAATATACACTTTTCATCCTTTTTTAATATCTTCCAACATCCAGGACAGAAAAAGTAAAGGCTTTTCCATATTTCGTATTATGTATGTACACACACATATATATATATATGTGTCTGTGTATATAAAAATGAATGGCCAAATGTAATATTGATTATTTAAATCGTAACTTAAAAATTTTGGTTTTATCGTTTTACGTACAATAGAATATATCTAAGTGATATTAAATTGATATTATATATGTAGGATATGAGAATACATATATAGATATATTATACAAGTAAATAGGTAGAAAGGAAAAAGATAAATCATATTTGTAGAAATGTATGAGATAAGACGATGACAAAGTCTAACAAAAGGTTATCGATAACGAATGAGAGAAGACAAAGAAGAAATCATCAGCAATTGAAGTCTTACTACAAAGAAAAACAGTTCAGAAGAAAATTGTTGTTAGTCAATCGTCATCGCTTTCTTTGGATTATTAGCTGACTTTTTTTTTTTTTTTTTTTTTTTTTTCTTTTTTTTTTTACCATTGTTATGCTGAATTTGAAAAATTCTTTTTCATCGTTCTCGATTAATTCAAAACAAACACCATATCTACGTATGCATGTTAATATAAGATAAATGATTAATGATATGTATTACATATATAAGAACAAATTAATGAATTACATCTTATTTGATATGAACGCTATATATAACAATTTTAAAGAATCATCTTATGTCACCTTCCCTTGCCTCGTTTTTTGCTTGAACTAAAAAAAAAAAAAAAAAAAAAAAAAAGAAAAAAAAAAAAATAAAAAAAAAAAAAATAAATAAAAAAGCATTTCACTCGGGCTAACTTTCATAACGATCTATACGTCCTAAGAGACCTGTCAGCTAATATGATTAATGATGATTTCGAGAAAAAAAAAAAAAAAAAAAAAAGAAAGAAATGCGAAACAAAAAAGAAGAAAAAGAAACAGATAAGAAAACTGTGTCTGTACTATGTATTTAACAGCGATCATGAAAAAAAAAAAAAATAAATAAATAAATATATCATCCTTTTATATATAATATAAAAATTACTTAATGAAATCTGATGCATTCGATCGTATGTCTCAACGTATGTGTTAATGTTGATGATGAAGCGGAACTTTAACGAAAGGAGAACGATAAATAAATACAAGAAAAAAAAAAAAAAAAAAAAAAAAAAAGAAATAAAAAAGAAACATGAAAAAAAATATATATATAAAAAAAAACAACGAGGAAAGAAAAGAAGGAAACGATGACTTAGGAAGGGAAAGGAGGGAAGGAGGCGAGGAGGGAAGAAGGGAAAGAAGAAAAGGAAGGTCCGCAATCGCGTTCGCACCAACGAACACGATTTCGTCGTGTGGAATGACTCGGGAGGAGCAAAATCGTGTTCCTATAAACGTGGGTACGCGTGTAGACCATGAGAAAACAGCAATTTAGTAAACTCGTATCGTGGCTTTAGCCTTCTCTAGTTCTCGGACCCATTCAATATTTTATCTGAAAATGTAAGGATTTTGCTATATACCGTCACTTTTTGAAGAGAAAAATTTATAAAACGAGTCAGTTGATAACTAACGAGTACATCAAAATGTTTTCCCGAAGTTCCGGAGATAACGTTAACTAATAAAATCTTAATTTCAGACATCCTTCTCAAGAGTAATTGCTATTGAAGATAGTAGAGCTACTTGACTCTGTTTTCGATTAGATTTAACTGTCAGTCAAACGTCAGATTACTTTGATTTCAGTACTCGGATGAGTACCTCGTATTTCCCTTTCAAATTTTACAAAAGCATTAGATTTCCAATTAATAATTTCAATATTTTTTTAATGTTTCATTAAGTAACGCGATAATGCATTTTAATTAATATTAAAAAAGTCGAAGAAAATTATTTCTTTTCTTTTTTATTTTAATAATCTTAAGAGTTAACATTGTAATTAATTAAATATCCTAAGAGATTTCGTGACAATTAGAAAACATATAGTTATATTTTCGATTGAAAGTACGTACGATTGTTGATAATTAAATATCAGTAAAAAAAAATCAAATAGGAAAAAGAAGAAAAAAGAAGAATAAAGAAAAAAAAAGAGATAGATAGATAGATAGATAGATAGATAGATAGATAGATAGATAGAGAGAGAGAGAGAGAGAGAGAGAGAGAGAGAAAAACTTACCCTAGAACGGCATGTCTGAGTTCTCCCAAAGTAGGATTGTAAGTATGATCCTCGCCACTAATCCTAATGACACCCTCTTCCGCGTTAACGTCGTAACCGTTTGCAATAATATCGATTAGATCAGCGAAATCATCATGTTCGTCCGATTTATCAGTTCTCGGAGAAGCACCAACAATGTCCTTGACAGTTCGCGTAAATGTGGACGTGTCATATTGTTCTTTACTACTGTTCGTACGTTGTAAAAATTTACGCCGGAAACCAGTATATATGGTTTCGACGTTCGGATCATCACCGATTCTAACACGACCATGGCTTGGTACCAAATGATGTCCACTGTAACCAAGATCCATTTGAAGATCCATCACCAAAAGTAAAGTGAATAATATCGCAAAGGCGCTCAAACCGAGCATCAGTTTGTCGCGAATTCTGATCATTCTAATCGTAAGCTTCATCTTTGAATTCCACGATTTCGGTTTATACTCGAGACAACTTTTTTTTCTTTTCTTAACGTCGTTCCTCGACAATTCGATCCTATCCCCGATAATCTTTTCGATGGAATCGTTTTGTAAAACAGTCACGGATCGTAAAACATCGCCAACGATGGTATCGATCGACGACGATTCAGAATTAACGCTCCTCGTCTCCTCTTCTATACTCGATCGAGCTTCGAAAGAACTTTCAGCTAAGAGAATACTTTCATCCTCGTGATCTCCTATCGAAATTCTCGCAGTTTCGAGTAACGGCGATAATAGCTCGACTGATAACTTGAGACTCGTTGGTTCTTTTCCCTCTTCTTCTTCTTCTTCTTCTTCTTCTTCTTCTTCTTCTTCTTCTTCTTCTTCTTCTTCTTCTTCTTCTTCTTCCTCCTCACTTTCTTGCTGTCTACGTCGACGTAGTAGTTCGCTTCTTCGTCGTTGTCGTCGTCGTTTTCGTTGTTGTCGTCGTCGTCGTCGTTCTCGTTGCCGTTGTTCCTCTCCTTCTTCTCCTCGTACACCCGACGAATTTGCAAGTTTGCATTTTACGTCGGACGACGTGCTCGAGGCGCGCGCATGCAACTGGTCACTGTCGGCTATCGGAAATTGTCGAGTCGTTGGAACTTCTTCGAGATCGACTGACCCGTTCGCGTTATCGCAGATTTGCCGTTTATGTCTCGATGACCTCTGTACCTCTTCCTCCTCCTCTTCTTCTTCTTCTTCTTCTTCCTTCTTCTCCTCCTCCTCTTCCTCCTCTTCCTTCTCCTTCGGTTCTTCCTCGTCCGGCGGTGGTGAATATTTCACTTTCCTTTCGCACTTGCACGTACGTTGTTCGAACGGCTTACTTTCGGGCTCGGAGACGCGATCTTCTTTTCTCGATGACCTTGACCGTACGTAACGCCTGTGTACAGCAGGCGAATAATCAGCCAAAAGCGAATCCTTAGATTCTCTTTTCTTTTCGAAACGTCTTCTTAGATTAGCACGCTCTTCCAATAATCTAAGATTATCCTCTGAACGTATCAAATCCTCGACATCCTCGACCGAGACGCTTTTAGATCTCGACGAATCCTCGTCTTGTTTTATATATTTCGTAACAATTACAAAATCTTTCGATTTTTTTAAATAATCCAATTCGCACGGGGAACTCTTTCTCGATTTTTTCCTTCTAATCGATGGGACAGGACGATTTTTATCGTTTTTTGTATCGCTCAAATTCTCTCTACTTTTGGTCAGGTGTAATTTTTTTTTTAAAAGACGTGGACTCTTACGAATATTTCTGACCAATCGTTCGCATCCCTCTGTAATATTTTCCTTGGAAGTTTTGACGAATCGTTTGAGAAACGAATCGTTTCTATCTACCTTACGAATTTTTCTCGTTCTTTCGTCGACGGATATCTTCGTTGGTTTTATTCTCTCGCTCCAATATTGTCGTATTTTTGTTCCTTTTCCAAGGGTTTGAGTACCGATCGAGAGATCGATAACAGATTTCGATCTACGTATCTCATGCACCCCCTCCTCCTTTGCTATCTCTTTTTTTAGTTTCAAATTTGAATCGTTGCCTTCGTATATCCGGCGGTCCAAACTTGCTCTCCTGTCTTTCGAGCCATCCGCTTCCAGACATTTCTCCGTGTCCAGAGTTATTTTCGATGTGCGCGTTTAATGACGCTTTAATTGGCACCCCCTTTGCCGATCTTTGATATTTCTTTTGTTTTCCTCTTTTTTCCTTTATCCTTCTTTTTTCTTTCCTTTTTTTTTCTTCTTTTTTTTTTCTTTTTTTTCCTTTTATTCTCTTTTTATTCTCTCGGTTTTAAAATATCTTTTAAATAACTACAAAGCACTAGTTTCTTTACTAACAACGAACTATATCTCACAGACTTTGGAATGTATAGTAGGTTCTAGCTATTTATCACAGACACGATAATACGAAACTACGACGAGAGCGCTGCTAACCTTTTGAATCCAGCACCTCCGAAC